AGTGAAGTTCACCAGGCAACAAGGCCCACTTGGACATACAGCTTCCAGTCAACATTTTTTATCTTGCTAGAGGATCCATCTCGGATCACAAGAGATTTAAGGAAAACCTCCAGATGAAACACAGAGACTAAAAGCAAAGAGACACAAAGACACTCCTAAGAGGCCGAGCCAATTCAAGAAAGGCTTTTTAAAACACCTTCATAGCCTCAGAAACGTAAGCTACTTGCATCTATGAAACAAATATGAGAACAAAAAAGAGCTCCTAGAAATTTAAAATGCTTACTGAAAATTTTTTTAAAAGATTAGAAAATAAAGTCAGCAAACTCCCTCAGAAAGAATGAGAAGATGGAAATGAATAATTGGAGGTAAAAAAAAAAGGAAGATCAACCTAAGAGGCATAACCTCCAAGCAGCAGGTATTCCAGAGAGAAGAGAAGCAATGGAGGATTGTCAAGGCAATGAGGATGGCAAGGCCACGGAGGACGGGCAAGGCCACGGAGGACGGGCAAGGCAATGGAGGAAGGCCAAGGCAACGAAGGACGGCCAAGGCAACGGAGGACGGCCAAGGCAACGAAGGACGGCCAAGGCAACGGAGGACGGCCAAGGCAATGGAGGACGGTCACAGGAGAAGCACAGTCCACGTGGTTAAAGGATGAATCCAAGGACTGAAAAGCCTGAAACAGTAAGTGAAGAAGGCCCACGCTAACATACATTGTCGTAACGTTTCAGAACACAGAAAAAGACAATTCTAAAAGTTTCTAGAGAAGAAGGAAAAACCACTGGACACATACAAAGGTTCGAAAATGAAAATGGCATCCAACTTCCCCAAATAGCAACAGTGGGATCTCAAAGACAACGAATGGAGCAGTGTCTGGAAAATGCTGAACGAAAAGTCATTTCCTACCCAGAATCTTTGACCCCACCAAAGCCTGAGCATGAGAGTAAAATAAAAACAATGTTGATGCAAGATCTCAAAAAACTTCATCTTCTACATGCATTTTTGAAAAACTGTTGTTGGGGTGATGACAAACATGCACAAAAGTAAAGAACAGGAATGAATCACCACACACTCCACTTGTAGCAACTCATTCAGTGCCTACTCTTGAAGCTTCCTGAAGATGCACACGGGTCCCCTCAGCCGGCGTACACATGGAAAAGGAAGGCGTGGCATCCAGGAAACAAGGAGCAGCCAACATCCCAGAGAGGAAAAGGAGTCCCAAGGAGGACAACGTTGCAGCAGGTCAAGAGAGCAACCAACACAGGTCAGAAAAGGACAGACGGGGCTAGAGACAGTCTTTAAGGAAAACACGAACAGACGGAGTATCCGCCACGTCTGATGCGTAGGGAATTACATTGAAAGGAGTTTTATAAGGCTGTCGGAGAGTTTAAGAGACTTCAAATTGGAAAGAAAATTAAGCAAATAGAAAAAAAATAAATCACTAAACTCCAGGAAAAACAAACTGTTGTACAAAAAAAGTAATTATACTGCATTACTTGGCTCAAAAGTAATTTTTATTAGGAGGCTTTATTAGAAGGCTAATGGGAGAGGAGGATGTTATACGAAAAAAACGAAGTTCTCAACCGATATCAATACATAATATCTAAAACCGTCAGATCAAGAGAAATTTGTACACTCATATTATTTACAAATTTTAAAAATCAGAAAGAATGGGGTGCCTGCTTTTTGTGTAAGTCTTTGGCACTACTTGATACTTTCAACTGTGAATTTTTATTAATTTGATAAAAATAAAATCAACGTTTTTGAAATATTTGAATTAAACATAGCAAAAATAGTTGTTATACCTGAGTGTTAGGTACATGGATATCTACTATTATCATTCCCTGTACCTACTGGTATGATTCAAGTATGTCATTAAAGGAGAAAAACTGCAACCGTTGGTAAACTAGTAAAAATAGAAGCTAATTCTAGGGGAAAAAATATATGAAAAAAGTTATCATGTAATAGGACTTGCTGCCCAATGTCATTAGATATATATAAACTACTACTTCAGTAACCAATTAAATTCCAACAATTATATAGATACACCTAAGTTACTTTTAAAATAGAAATCCCTAATATGTTGAACTAGATATATAAAGAGAATATAAAAATTCAATTTTCAAATTTTTATTGATCACTCATGCTCTGTGTCAAGTATTGGGAGTTGCCTATGCAATCTATTTACCACTGTGGCGGTTTTAAAACACAGCCACAAATTCTTTGATGTTGCTCCCATCAAGCAAAGCACACGCTCCCTCCTTGAGCCTGGGCGGGCCTGTGTGACTGCCTCCACGCACAGAAGGCAGAAGTGAATCTGTGTGATTTCCGAGGCTCCCACAGAAGAGACCATGCAACTGGGCCTCTCTTTCTTGGGGTATTTGCTCTGGGAGCCTTCACATAAGAAGTCCAGCTGTGCAACAGCCCACAGACGAAGACAGATGCCCTAGGAGCCCTACTTGTCAAAGTCCCCCCCTACCACCTTTGAGATGGTACCAGCAGAGGACAGAAGAGCCACCATACCAACTCTGGAATGCCTCCCTGGGCTGCTTGTTGCATGAGAAAAAGAAACCCCCTTCTGGGGTGAATTTTCTTTATTTGTAAATGGGCACTTTATAGTTAGTGATACAGGGATTTAAAAGCAACAGACCTTGGTCTATGTTAACAGGAAGAATGATTAAGACAATTTTATAAATAACACTTATCAAGGGATCAGCAATCTTTCTAAATTGGGTTATACTACACAACAGTGAAAAACAATAAATGACCCATGGGCTCATATGGTAAACTAGCTAATGACGGGGCAGCCAGAATTTACAGAGTACCTACTCTGTCTCTACCCTGCGCCACGTGCTCTAAGAAATATCGAAGAATAAGAACGTACAAGCTCAAAGTACTGGCTGGGATTAACAATCTCTCCCTTAAAAACAGTAACCTCCCTTGGTTAGCTCCTTTGGTTACTTACACCACACTACACATCACTTTAATCAGCTTGATCAACTCCCAACAAGATGACTTCAAAATCAATAAAGAAAATTGGAATGTTGAATTTGGAATAGTGTGCATAAAAACTTTAGAAAATAAATTACTATTTCAAACGACAGAAACGTGGGAGGTTTATTGACCAACAAACCCTGACAGCAATTTTTGCAACTAATGAGATGAAATAAAAAATACTTTATTGTAAACAGTATGATTGACAATATTAATGCTTTCAATAGACCAACTATAATGTGCCAGGCACCTGGCTAAGCACCTAGGCACACACACACTCGTTTTTCTTCATGATGACCCCAACAGGTACACACTGTAACAGTCCCACTGTTCAGACAAGAAAACCAAGGCTCAAGGAGATAGGAAATACACCCGTGCTTAAACAGCTAACGAGAGAGCAGGACAGAGATGACGAGAGCTGGGATCTGAACAAGAAACTCCCAGATGACTTACACTTCAGTCTGCCGTCACTACTGCAAGTTGATCTTACTGACAAATATTGAACAGCTAAATTAATATTATCTTTATAAAAGAGGAACTAAAATCAAAAAGAGGTAAGGGGTACTCAAAAATCATAATCCCTGTGGTGGTTCTACAAAGGAATTCCAAATACTATAAAAAATAGTTCTAAATCACCTAGCAACCATTTCTGTAAAATTAATAATAATTTTGCTAGTATAATTCTCAGATTCATTTATCAAAAAACCTTAAAATGTTATGACAGACTTTTTTCAATGTTCAAATGTATTTCTGGAATGGAGAAGAACATAAGTCCTGGAGAAAATATCACTTACCTATTTATTGTGTAACCTATAAGATTTCCTTTGTTTTCGGGGTAGGTAAAAATCATGCAAAACCTAAACTTCTATTCTACTTGTACAGTAGTGCCCCCTCATCCATGGTTTCATGTTCCACAGTTTCAGTTACCCACGGTCAACTGCGGTCCAAAAATATTACATGGAAAATCCCAGAAATAAACAAGTTTTAAACTGCACACCTTTTTGAGTGGTGTGATGAAATCTTGTGCCATCTCGCTCCATCCCGCCCAGGACGTGAATCATCCCTTTGTCCAGCAGATCCACACTGCAGACCGCCACCTGCCTGTCAGTCACTTAGCAGCCACCCGGGTTATCAGATCAACTGTCGAGGTATCACAGTACTTGTGATCAAGTCAACCTTATTTTACTTAATAACGGCCCCAAAGCGCAAGGGAAGTGATGTTGGCAATTCGGATATGCCAAAGAGAAGCTGTAAAATGCTTCCTTTAAGTGAAAAGGTGAAAGTTCTGAACTTAATAAGGAGAAAAAATTGTATGCAGAGCTTGCTAAGACCTACAGTAAGAACGAATCTTCTACCTGCGAAATTGTGAAGGAGGAAAAAGAAATTTGTGCTAGTTTTGCTGTCTCACCTCAAATATGTACATATAGGAAAAAACACAGTACATATAGGGTTCGGTACTATCCACGGTTTCAGACATCCACCGGGGTCTTGGAACGTATCTCCCAAAGATAAGGGAGGACTACTGCATTAGCTGTGTGTCACAAAAATAAAAATTTCTATTAAATATTCATTTCACTTCTATACATTTCATTCCAGTAAAATTCTTTCAAATATACAAAAAACTCAGTTTTTTTTTCCCTTAAAATCACCGTAAATCTCACTAAATCTAATACTCATCTACTCACCTCACTTTCACTTCTTTCAAAAAGAAATGACAAGTCCTTTATTTACCACAATCCTATTAAATAGGTATACACAATTCACTTACTAAATTTACTGGACATCTATAACCTGCTGGAAGGTGAGACCACAGGAAAAAAAATTAACATGATCCCTGCCTTTCAAGAAACTAAACCTGGTTATTCACATCTATACGTGCATGAAATACCAGAAATCACAAAGCTTTAAAAACAGCAAATCTCCAGGACTTATGATGTGCAAGTATTCCTCAACTGGACAACTGCTTTACATTTATCGTACTCAAGTCCGTGTGGAAGCGCACTGCCTACCTGCATCAGCTCTGGACCGCTGGCCAGGTGTCTTCCCGAATGGGGTCTTCATTCATCTGTATTTACGTCAGCAGCAGAGCTGCTGGACTAGGGTGAAAATTCAATATGCTCCAATTTGAAACTTTTCACAGAATTTCAATGTTCTTGTTAATCCATCATCCAAGTTCCTCTTTTACAAGTTCAGCAAAAATACATGAAATCATAAGCACTCTGTAAAATATTGAAATAATAGTTCATATTACTAGAGTATCACAAGAGCAAAATTCTCCAAGTAAGCCATCAAACACGACATATAATTTTAAACTTAACATTAGCTAAAACGCACTTCACCCAAAAGCAATCAACCTTATTTCCTTGGCCCCAAGTGCCTAGGACAGCACAGAGCAGGGAGAAAAGGAGGTGCTAGACCCTCTCATGAGGAAAAGTGCAGTCCTTAGAGATCACCCGGAACAACCCAGTGTGCGGCTTCCCCCACGGTACCCTGACCCATTCTGCTGCCAGAAAAGATTTGGACCAGCATGGCCACCTCCGTGACGGGACACAAAGACCCAGCAAGAGGGGGCGGGTGGGCAGGTGAGGGGGCGAGGTCCCGGGGTGGGGCAGGGTGGAAAAGCAGCTGGAGGGGAGGCAGCACCCAGCTGGAGAAAGGTGAGTGAGCCAGCCGCCTTGGGCAAGAGAAGGGGTTATAACCACCAAGGCAATGCAGTCTCTTCCTGCTCTCAAGCTTCCAGAAACCAGAGGAAAAGACCCAGTAACTCTGGAGAAGCCTCAAAGAAACGTCCACACTCATGCAAAAGTTAAGTCATTTTATGGAAGCAGCTTATCATTTAGATCAAATTTGGTCCAGTTTACAGTCCACACAGCAAAACATCTGTGGAGACATATTCTCACACGACATGAAACGTCGACTGCAAACTTCCCTGAAGCAGCTGACCCCTCAGGTCTCCAGTGCCAGTCTTCAGGCCTACAACTTACCACCGGTGTTCACAGGTGTAAGAATAGGAGGAAATGCTGAATTAATTCTCTAGAGACTGAAATGTAACAAAATTAGTTACATTTATTTACTTTTTATTTATATTTACATTTACTATTTAATTGCTATTACTAATAGTTAAAATAATTTAAAATCTTAATTAATGAGGGAGAGAGGAATCAGTTTAACTGGTAAAAATTCTTACCTATATAAAACCTTTAATATTCAAGGAGGACAGATTTAAAGACTCATGGATTTTACGATGAATGCATTCAGTGATCTTCGCTGAGCGCCTAGTGTCTGGAGCTCAGGTAGGAGGGAGACGGTGCACAAGACAAGGAAGGAAAACAGACGGCTCTCGAGTGGCGATAAGCAACACCCCGAGGAACACGGGAGCAGCGCCTCTCCTGGAGGTGTGCTTCCTAAGAGCGGCACAGCCCGCCGCCCCGTCCCTAGCGCCTAGGGAGACAGCCTAGGCCGGCATGACAACTAGCTGGTCACCACCTCTCCCTAAAAGTCCATCGGACAGCTGCGCAGGGCCTGCAGCCCCCTACCTCTTCCAGCAGCAGCATCTCAGCTTCCCTCACTCAAAGCCTCCACACTGACCTACCCTCCCCTACGGGACCCTCCCGCCTCTCCCCCTGTCTGCCCCACCTGCTCCACTGCCTCCACAAGGCAGTCTGTCTTCAGGAAGCCTGTCTACAGTCTCCCTGCCCAGCAGCTCTCTCCGAGGTGGCTGTTCGTATTCCCGCTGCCTACACCCACACATCTCCCCTACCCAACACCCAGCGTGGAGGCACGAGCCACAGCAACAGTGATAAGAGCCAACCCTCTTCACTGCAGACATCTACCTGTTAATCCTCTAGCGTCTACACCACTTTTGAAGACTTTGGTACCTGGTTTACTAGCTTTCCATCACTATTCTCATCACATACCTGGCAACATATGATCCTTTCAACAACCTGCCCCTCGGTTCTCCGACAGCCTCACTTCCAAGTCCCCACCCACTCCAGGTACCTGCTCATCACCAAGGACTGCAACACCTCTGGAGTCTCTGACTCAAGCGTCTCACACGCAAAACCACCTCTGACCATTCACCTTTCCCTACACCCACACTCCTGGAGGCAACCACTACCTCCATCCACGGCCTGACCCTCTCCTCATGGTCCTGCTCTCTTCCTTGGGGACTAACCTCCCCCCCTCCGCCTCTGCTCCAATTCCACGGAGGCTCAGCGCCAGAGTGATGCCCTTGGTTTTCTCCACTTCTCTCCCTTCTCTTCCTGTCACTTCTGTGGCAAAGCCCTAACCCACTCCCTGCCTACTGCGCCCACAACTTCAGCCACTGAGCGTGGCTGAGAAACTTCACACACTGATCACCTCCTGTCTCAAGCAGGCACTGGACAGCACTACCCCACCCTCAGCAGGTAAGCGTGCCCTCTGCTGGGAAAGACAGGTGCTCACCTTCCCACCACCAAATTCACCACCTGACTGGTACCCTCTGCTCCTGCAAGAGCTGGTGACCATATTTAAGCTCAACCCTTTTGTGGTATCGCTCCCATCTCTGCCTTCGCTATCAATTTCCCCCTTACTACTAGAATATTCCCATTGGCATACAACAAATGATGAAGTATTTCTCAATTTTAAAAACATCCCATGACTCCACGCCCTCTCCTCCTCTTTACAAAGCTACTTCAAAGATTGAAAAATATTTTAATCTACACAAATATCAATGTATCCTAACTTTATAAATTAAATTGGCTCTATAACATGAAAAATTTAGCTTACTGATATTCTATAGAGTGTGCACCATTCTCACTAGCAGATTTAAGCTTATCTTGTAATATTTCCTACTGCTTAGCACTTCATTAAAATTTTCAAGGTTTGTTATACTTTATAAAAGTATAAGACGCTAGTTAAAGAAAGAGGTGCAGGGGGAGGACACAAGGAGATTTTAGAATAATGTAGGAACACAAAATGTCAGACGCAAGTCCTTCCCCATTTTTGAGTTGTAATTAATATTACAACCGCCTAATTTTATCCCAACTCCACTAAGACCAGAAAAATGTAGAGACGGAGCAAAAGGCAAACCCTGCAGAGAGCTAACTAACGGAACCCTGGCTTTGTTCTGATTCAACATTTGCCATATAATATGCTTTGAAAACTGCAGGGAATTGAAGGTTTCCCAAAACAAATCTCCTTCTCTTCTGACTGGAAAGGGCAAAACTTAACCTTAAGTTATTCTACTGAGTGGTTAAATTAGTAAATAAGACAAACTAAAGGAAAAAAATTTTTAAAAACTTTAAATGCTAACAAAGCAAAATCTCATTATCTCTAGGATAGCAGGAGTTTCAAAAGTTTTCTTCAAGTATTACAGGAAATGTCAAATGGAGCTTAATTTCAAGGCCATAAAAAAGACAGTCCTGTATTCAGAGACCCAAGAGATGCTGACACCACTGGGCGACAGGCTGCTGGAGAACAGTCCTGCATGGCACCAAAAGATCGCGCCATTACCCACTGATTGTGAGTGCTGCTTTACGATGGGGGATCACAGTCCAGCACCATTAACAGGGAGCCAACCACACTATACAGGCTTCCTGAGGTGAGTGACGCATGGCACACCACACCACTCACAAAGCACTCTTGTCAAAAACGCTTTACCTCATCTACTCAAGCCTCTAGACCTAATGTCCAGTTTACAGATGATGGAGGAGCAAGTGAGAAGCTTCTACAAGACAACTGGGCCACACTCTTCAAAAAGTCAGCATCATAAAAAAGAAAAAAGATAGACACACTGTTCTAGATGAAGAGACTACAGGGAGACAACAAACACAGTGAGCCAACCCTGAATGGACGGCTGAGGGACGAGCTGCAGAAGACATTTAAGATGAGTGTGGACAGGGACTAAATCGTAGATGACATGGAACTATGACTGACCTGTAAAAGCACAATAATGACACTGTGGTTATGCAAGAGATTATACTTAAGAAACGCACGCTGAAATTTCGAGCAGCAGACTCATGATGTCACAAGTGAATTTCAACTGGTTCAGGCAAAGAAAACAACATACATAATAAAGTGAAATGGCAAAATATTAATTTTTGAACCTAGGTGAAAGGGCATAATAACGTTATTCTTTGAATTTTTATGGCTATTTGAAATTTTTCATAATAAAATGTTGGGGAAAAAAGATCCTGGATTTTCCTTTGCTAAGTCCATCTTTATTAAACAAAGCTAGCTATCCAGGATTCCAATTTTGCTAACATCTTTAAAAAGCATCACGAATTTAGCTTTGAAACTCAAAATTCTCCTTCTGTGATGATCTCAAAGGGGATCACGAGATTTTCACAGAAAAGCAAGTGTCCCCAAGCGCATGCTGTGTATCACACACTACGTACAGGCATTAACTCAGAGTCCTCACAACCACCAGGAGGCACATGCTATAACTGTTCCATTTTGGAAATTAAGACACCGTGGCACAGAAGTTAAAATAGCACACGCGTGGACATACAGATGGCACAGAGCATTGCTGAGATATATTTCCTATTTGAAAAGTAAACACACAGATGGTTCCCATAAAGGAAGAGGGCACCACAACATCAGTGAGACTGTGTTCTGTCTCCACAGAGGTTAAGAAATGAGTGTTTCAACATTTCAGATACAAAAACAGTAATAAACACAAAGTAGAAGTTACATATCAAAATATTTGCTGCCAGTTGCTATCAGCAAAAAGTGCTATTGATAAAAAGAAAACAAATTTCTAAAACTGTTTAAGCAAAAATGCTAAGTCCCAAAGAAGTCTCAACCCCTGAACACCTAATGGAAAAGTACAGAGGAGCACTAACAGCCAAACACACCGAGTGTCAGCTGAAGCCTGGGCTGCCGATGAGCTGTCTCAGGCTGTCGTCACAGAGGGTTCAGCATGTGGGAGACACGCATGCTATCACATATATTTACATGAAGAAGGACATAAGGCTAAAATCTGAATAGGGCCTAAATATTAGATAAGAAATAATTTTGTTAATTATGATACTGTAGTTACAAAGAAAAATATACTTATTTTACTAAATGTCATGATGCCTGCAATTTATTGCAACTTGCAAATGGCTGAACAACAAAAATGTGAGTACAGCAAAATGTGAGCAAGTGAATCTCCATGGAGGGTAAAACAGTTACACATATAACCTGGCTAGAGCTCCAACTTTTCTACCTATACAAAATTTAATATAGTCTGGGGAAAAAAACCACGGAGGGAGGAGAGGAGCCAAGTC